TTCATTTTTCAGAAGCGTGTTCTTCACATTTGGAAAAAATTCTAATCTTTTTAAAAGTTATTAGTAAAACTATTTCTTCAAACATTCTTGTTTTCATCTTGATCTGCTAAACAGGTAAATGAAATAACTTATATTTACCACCCCTACCTCCTGAAACAAAAAGTGTCTATTGGTTCTGGTAAAAAAAAGATTTCTGAATAGGTGAGTATGTGAAAGCAAAGAGATGTAAGCGCTTCAACCTTGCATCAATATTTCAACTTTGTACAAAAATGGCAAGTGCAGAAAGAAAAAAGCTCACATATGCAGAAAGAAAAGAATGAAACTACAGACTTTTATCAAGTCTGGGTCCAGGGGAAATGAACATCCTTGGTGTGATATAAATGTGTTGGGGGTATGCAGAGTGGGTGGTCATACATTTGTGTCCTTCACAGAAAATGTGCCAAGGCTGATGGGTTTGAGTTTGCATATAACTATTCACTTCTATGAGTATTTATTAAAAAAATAAAAAAAAGTTAACCCACCACACAAGGACTAAATCTACTGCCTAATGACTGATACTGTCCATTCGTCTTCTCTTGCTGGCTCAAATATTGACCTGAGTCAGACTAAATCAGAATGAAGGGGAAATAAAGTCTTGTAAACAATATTTATCTCATGGAATGTTCAGTGAACATAAATTGGCAAGTAACAACAGGCTATATCCATCGGCAGACCTAGAGAGGGCCCACATAGGTCAGTGTCCCTGTATATCTGGGCCGTTTCTCAATATGTGTACTTGTGCGTTCTCATGTACTTGTGTACTCATGAAACGTCCTCAGCCCTTGTACTGTTCCAATTCACAAGAACACAAAACCGAGAATGGACAAAGTCCTTGGATGTTGTTCTCTTCCCTCCCTCTTTACCGAGTATTAATCAGAGCAGACTTGTCCGTTCTTGAGATTGACAGCTGTCCCAGCATGCACCGCGGCAGCAGCAGCTTCCAGTAGAGCACTCGCATAGCTCAGAATATTAAGTTAACAGTTCACTTTTCTGTTGCTGTTGTTCAGTAAAAGTAAGTTTTAAGATCATTAGAGGCAAGAACATTATACTTTTAAGCATCACTATATGGCCCGTTTACTCTTTTAAGACATAATAAAAAAAACAAGACAAATGCAGAAGCAAACCGCAGCCAGGGCTAATCATAGCCTGTGTGCAGCAGCCCTGACTGCGATTTTTTATTTATTTATTTTTTTGGGCAAAATGTTAATTTGATTTGTGTTTATCTGACTTTGTTAATTATTATTCCCACACTAAATGAAAAAGGTAAGAATTTATTATCATCTAGAGACTATTAATAACAAGAGGTGAAATGCAGCTCCAGATGAGCCGGGCATGTGGTGACGTCACGAGTACGCTTCTGTTCCAATTGACCCATATTTATGCTGCATGGTCCTGTTCTCCCTGAGTCCATACATTCCTTTGTTCTTCTCAAGAACATACTTGGTGAGAACACGAGTCAGTACTTGTGTTCTTGTGAATAGAGCAATGGCCCTAGTCTTGGCCTGTGTTATGGCCCCTCTTCTGAATACATATCACTAAATTAATTTCTTATGACTATATGCACTGTCAAGAGAGACTCTTACTGTCTGTGACTGTGGTCAAAGTTAATCTTTTTCCTTTACACTTTAATTTATCAGTGATTTAAACCGTTTGAGTAATTACAGATATTTTTGCACCAGGTGTTTTATGATTATCCCATTTTTTTTCAGCCTCATAATAATGAACATATATTGACAGTGCTCTGATATTGTGATGTAACACTGAAGTAAGCAGCTCCTCCCTGGGCTGCTGCTATCTACCAACTCACTGCCTCCTACACATGATGCTTTGCTTAGGGACACACAAAAAACAATGGTTTTTACAATGAAAAATGTTAATAAGTCATGATTTTCTTAACTAAAAAAGTAAAAAATATATATAGAAAATGGATCAAAGAGGCATTACAGAGTTTTCTAATGATACTGCCACCTGTGGACCAAACGTCACATTGACTGCAGTGATTAAAGAGCTTTCTGCTACGCAAGGCAAGCTGGTCCCAGGGGCGCAGATAGGTTTTTGAAACTGTGGGGGACAGTTACTATAGGGTTTGGTCATCGTGACGTAAGCACTTCGCGTCGCCGCCATGTTGAATGCGTCTTTTACCGCAGCTCAGACTACTGCCTATGACTACCGCGTACTGTACTCCCTCTCAGCCGTGTTTTAATTTTATTAATTTCACCTTAACTTGATTTCAACCATGGTAAACCGTTGCTGTATTGTGGGCTGTAACAGCTCAACACATGATCGCCATGGAAACATAGAAAATGGGTTAACTTTCCACCGCTTTCCTGACTGGAGGCGTAACCATGGAGACCAAGCGTCAGAGATAAAGAGTCGTCGGCTAGCTTGGATCGCGGCTGTAAGACGAGCGAACATAACTTTCCACAGTATTCCAATGTCATTGAGAGTGTGTTCCCTGCATTTTCATTCTGGTAAGTTAAAGATGCACAGTTTTATTTTATAGCCTACATTGTTTCTTTCCTTCAAAGTTGGGATCTTTTACGGGAAAATAATAAAAACGGCAGCGGGAAAATGCTCAAATATGCGAGAAACCCGGAGGGTTGGCAGTTAACGTTACTAACTACACCTTTGAAACACATAGCAGCTAGTTAAAAGTACATTACATGCGTGAGTGGTTGTTAGCATTAGCGGTTAGCAGTTGCTAAACTAGCAGGTTCCAGAGCCCCTCTGATCACAGCTTACCTTCGTACGAATTACTGTGTTCCCACTGTTTGCTGGCTTTATGATGTGCAGCTCCTGAACCCATCCATTCATGAACTGCACATGAGACTCCAAGGACTTGTAGCTTCGGAACTGTTTTGAAGTATAGGCGCTCACTCATTGGTGCTCCACTCATTGTTTGGAACTTTATATGGATCCAAATGATTAACAATGCTGATTTTGTCACCATACCGGTCCCTGGCTTCTCTATTTAATGTGTCCCGGTAAATTCCAGATCCTTTTAGGGATTTTAACATATTTTTTCTCTCTACTTCTGTCTCTTCTTTCAACAACAACGTTGTGTCAGAGCTATGCTTACGTTTGCGTAGCAGTCAGTATGGCTGCGACGTCCCACAATGCAACGTGGATCCCGAGCCCTATTACTGGCTATTACTCAGCTATGACAACCCATCAATCTTAATTGCCCATCATTGCAAGAAAATAACATGTATTGGTACCAAGTACTCACCAAACATGCCACATGACGTGTGAAAAAAAAAAGGTTTTATTTAAACATGGACTGACTTTAAGTGCAGGCTGTAAACACACAGAAACACGAACAGCAAAGCCTACATATATACAAAAACAAATTTGTAAATAAGTACTTTACATGGCTTTTCAATAAATGACATCAAATGAAGAAAGTTGTGTGTCTACTTTGTCAAGGACTCTGTAGAACTCCACTTTGTGGTACTCCACAGCAGATTCTGGCCTGTGTGCAGGTGCTGGCCCAGAATATCTCTTTGGGGGCCTATGTGTTAGAGACAGCTTCTAGGCCATATCCACTGCTTCCTTAAAGACTGCCTCAAAGTGGGCTGGCTTTCTTTTGTCCCGTAATCTCTCTTGGACAACTGAGACTGCAGAGACCATGCCCTCCAATGTCTGGGTGCTTTTTTGGAGCGATGTATTCAGCACTTCCAGTTCGCTCATTACATCTAAGGCCAGTGAGCCCCAGTAGCCCCAATTTCAGTAAAATCTCAGGCTTTTAAATGTTGTAAAATCACCCATAAGTTTTAGGTGTTTTAGTCCTTTATAATTAAATTTATACATTCAAAAAACATAAGGAAGTTATTATCAACGTCTCACTCTACTTTACAGCTTTGTATTAACATTGCTTTAATGTGTGTTATTGTGTACAGCTGGGGACTTTAAGGGCCATGTTAATTATAGATTAAAGAATTTACTGTTCTGCAGTTTAAGCAATTGTCATATTTGTAACATCACTAGTCTTTCCTGTGACATGCACCTTTTATTTATTTATATATACACACACACACACATTATATATATATATATATATATATATATATATATATATATATATATATATATATATATATATATATATATATATGAGAGAGAGATTCTTTCCTCCGAGTTACAGTGACATAGACAAACTTGAAGATACATGACATCCTCAAATTTCTATTCTATTAAAATTTCTGTATCTGTATAATGGGTCTGTTCTATATGTTGTCTTCTCAATTCAGAAGGCCCCATGCCTGTCTTTGCCTAGGGCCCCAAATTTCCTAAATCCGCCCCTGTGTAGTGGAATTTGTCTAGCTTTGAAGTTAGTTTTTCTCATGATTCAACCTGTAACAACCTAAACCATTTGGCTTGGCATAAATACGGATTCAAGTAGCCTACTGTAGCCTACACATTTCTGAAAGACCCCCAACAACTCCAGAAAAAGTCGGAACAGTCGATTTAATTATAAATAAATAAATGCCAATCGATTCCCCCTGCCTCCCGCCTTATGACATTGGCACCTCTCTTCACGCTATTCTCACTGACCGTCTCCACTCTTTTTTCCACGGCGACATCGAACAGACAACCAAAAAAATGCAAGGTGATATGATACCGCAATGAACAGTTTACTTACAGTTGGTGCTTTTCGAAAAAAGGATGCAATTGTTTTCTGTTTTTTCGGTTTGGCTGGCCTCATGTTGATGTCCGGACTCCGGAATTGGGAACTGTCCCGCCACTACTGTCTGTCTGAGTAACCATGGAAACCAGGCTCGAGACGTAAATGCCAGAGACAGGATAACTGTTAGATTAGAATCTCTACGACGCAGGCAGCCTGCAGTTAAACAAAACGATTGCCCGTCTATGATCTGACTGTTTTATGTTGTTGTTGCAAAGCAGTAAATTAGAAAAAGCTTTTTGATTTTCTGTGAGTTTCGCCATATGTTTTTTTTTTATTTTTTTTATAAAAGTGGGGGGGACGGATTGAGGGTCATTCGAATCTGTGTACGTCAGAACACCCCTGACGTACACGCTATCTGCGCCCTTGGCTGGTCCTGATCTGTGCAGATTTTTTCCTTTCTGATCCAGTGTCCTATGACGGAGGTCTTCAACAGGGGGTTCGCAACCCCTAGGGGTCCAAGGAGGTACTGCATGGGGCTAGCAAAAGTTTTTGTTGATAAGACTTTTAAAAACATTTTTTTATTCCCCCCTGCAGTTTTTTCCACTAATTTAAATGTCTTTAAATCCACATTAACATGAATTGAACACACTTCAGTAAACAGACAAATGGAGGTAGAAGATGTCTTTCAGTCATCAATGCACACATTCAGTGACACACAGGAGCTATTTCAAGCTGGGCACCATTTCATTCACAACACCTGTCCCATCAACCAGGAATCAGAATCAGCAATACTTTAATAATCTCAGAACGAAATTAATTTTGCTACATGACTAAAGTTAAAGTAAAGTTAGTTGACAATGTTAAGGTGTATTACAGAGTGGAAAAGCTCCTCAATCAGTTTAACACAGGGGTCTGCAAGATCTTATATCCAATTAGCCCTTTTGCTCTGAGTCCGGCAATGAATAAGTTGATTAGAGGTGCAAATTATTACTTGACTTTTTAATAACACACAACCTATTATTTTTTTTTTTATATCTGCAACAGGAAATCTGTTGCCAAGTTAAAAAAATAGAATAAGGAAAAACATAAGACAAATTCTTAAGATGAAGTTTTTCTTCTATAGAGTATTATCTGATGTAAGAAAGAGTAAATAATAAAAATCATAATTTCTAAACTAATTAAAAGGAAAATATGTCATAATTATGGCATCCTAGAACCATAATTATGATTATTTCAATGTCATTGTGTCTGGAAAATTCCATTCAAATATTCTTTATTAAAACCGGTGTCACACTTCTAAGACTGGTGCTGGTAAAGATTTTCAGTAATTCAGTCCATAGTCATTCCAAAATAGTAAAAAGAAAAAAAAACAATCCACTGGAAACAAACTTAGAAACAAAGTTTTTTTTTTATTGTTTTTTTTTTTTTTTACTGTTTTTGAAATTCTAAGAATGGTTGATGTTAATATGGAACATTAAATGAAAATAGGATTACAACTTCTGTTATTTGCATCTAAGTTGTTCTAATGTAAGCATGAGGTTTTAATGTAATAAAGACTTTGGGTGTTTTTATCATTTGCATTTGCTTGGCTAACATCAGCTTTTTTTTAAGTGAATAATAGTTGGTTATCTCTGGATTGCTCAGCCCCCCCCAAAGGTTAAAGGTCAGGACACATGACTATTGCATTGCTCCCGTGATGAGGCCAATGATGAACACCCTTGGAAGTGTTTAATTATGGAAAATTTGTAATAAAACAGAAGTCCAATGAAAAAAAGTGCTCAATTAAAATCGCCATTCCTCCAAGGTACTGTCTTTCACCTCTGACTGTTGTTCCCCCCTAAACAATGACAGCATACTCAAGATCAGCACTATCAAGTAGCCTCAACAGTGATTCCAAGGAAGCTGGTCCATTGATGGAAGCAACAGTCAGGGACCTCTCTGTGACCAAATACCCACAGATGAATTGACAGAGACTGAGACTGTTTGGCTATTATATCCTATACATGCAATTATTTGCTTTACATATAATTAATCCTATCCCTTTCGACCGGTTAGTTTTGCTTTATAATTCCCCACAACACCTAGTGATATCAACGCTATCATATAATATATATTACATTTTTCACTTAAACATTGAACAGATTATTTTCTTCAGTTCAGTCCACCAGCATTGCACCCCAGTGCTTGGAAGACATCTTATCTACTCAGAGAAGGTTGAAGCACACTAAAACAGGATAAGACAGGCTTAATTGAAAGTAAACAACTCTTGAAGCTAATGAAGGGTCTGGCATGAGTGGCATCTAGCTGAAATGCACCAATTAGACTTCAGCCAGTTTACAAACCACTATTATTACTACACTTCATGTCCTCATACTCTGACTGAATAAAATATGATGAGCACAATGTGAAACTGTATTTCATTGTTTATTGTACTGTGTAGAAATTATAATATTGCCTGCACACGTGCAAGACATCTCTTTAGTTGAGTTAAGCAATGTTTGGCCTTGACAGTCTCTACTGCTGAACCGCTTTTTGCTTTTTTTCAAGTCAAATTGTCTTAGCTCAATTTCAAAAAAGCTCTTGTTTTGCTCATTTAAAAAATATTATTTCTTTTTCTTTTATTTCTTGTGTTTTAACCAAACTTCAAGAAAAAAAAATCCTTTTGTACAGTTCATTGAGATTCCCTAAACGATTAGGCCAAAAAGGTTGTTTTATAAATTATCTATTTGCAACACAGATGAAAAACAGTCTGTATTTTAGGACCTGTTCCATGTTATAAATACTGCAAGCTACAAGTGATCATTATAATGCAAGGGTAAAAAGACTGCATGATAATGACCATGTAATGACTATAAATAAATAATGATTCAGTGGAAGTGTTTTGGTGTTCTGCTCTGTTTCCTGCACACAGAGGGTTTAATATAAAATAGGAATGGTGGGCATTATTAACAAGATGTTTTTTCCATCAAGAAAGCATCAGTGCACCCTGATATCAGTACGGCAAGTCTTTTAGAGCATTAAATCCTCTTTGTTTCTAAACCTAATTAACCTGTTTGACATAACCACGACATACCACATTTCCTCCTAGGTTTTATTTTGTCATGTTTTCTTCATCCAGTTATATACTATTACATAAATCTGCTGTTTGACAATATATTTTTGTTATTTCTTTAAGACTATGTTTCTGAGGTGACAACTAGATCACAATGTGCCTGGAAAGTTAACATATTAATAGTTAAATGTCAATGAACTCCCTTGAATCGCCAGTCTCATTTAATGTAATTAATTAGTTTTAATTCAAATAGAGCAACTTTCATAACCTGTGGATCTTTTTTTAAATTTTGTGATAGTAAAGCCACAAACAATAACAATTTCAATATGAATTATGTCGCACAGCACTACATATTGAATAGAATGAGGAAGAAGGAAGTTGTGGTAGATTTTAATCTCTTGCAAAAAGGGAAATTTCTAAAACTGTGGTGCGCATTTGTATTCACCACCCATCCACTTGTACAGAGGTCATTCCACAAAGAACCTCCCCGAAAAATGTATGTCTCTATGGGATTATATTCTAGATCTTTACTGAGTCATCTTACCATATACTTAGTCATACAAATAGGGTTTTTTGATCCAAAAAAACAGGGACAGGAACTTATTTCAACCTAATCAGTTTGATTTGTGGAATTTACACCTTTACTAGCACCACTTGCAAATAGTTGGGACTAAAAAGCCATTAGATTGCCACTATTGTGTAACGATAAAAACAACATTTAAGCTATTCACTTTTGGCTTAAAAGGTCTCTATTTCATGTTTTGCTTTTTGGAACCCCTAAGGGGAAGGTATTCCGTAAAAATTCAAAAAATATCCACTGGACATGGTTTCCAAGATTTTAAGACGTTTCGCCACCTCTCCAGGAAGCTTTCTCAATTCAAATGTCTGGAACCACAGTGAGTTTGAGTCTTAGGCCCCGTCCACACGAAGACGAACCCTGGCCTAAACGCACAAATTTTTCACCAAACCAGCCTCTCATCCATACGAAGCCGGCGTTTCGGGGTCTGTAAACGATCTTTTTTTTATTCAGCCTTCAGAGTGGGAAGATTTCGAAACGCCGTTTTCGCGTTTCCATCTTTACGCTCTAACCGCATATTTTTTTTACACGCATGCGTCATAGCGTCGCCTCTAAACACGCATGCGCGACACAGTATCACAACAACAATGGCGCCGTTGCTGCTAATGCTACTCACCCTGCTGTCGGGCTTACAACAGAATCTTCTTCTTCTGGAATATCTCCAGGAAGAACAGATCAATATCGACGACATAGTTCAGCACCTGAATTTGACTTAACCACGAAAATGGACCCGCAGGGCAACCATGTATAAATATTAGTGCGCATGCCCAACATTTCGTCGCTTATTTTTGCTTTGGCACCACAGCGCCACTTACAGGCCTGGCATACATTTTGCAGCGTTTTCATGCATTCGTGTGGACGCTCACATTTATTTTACGTCTCCGTCTTTACGGCAAACGTTTTGGAAAATATCAGCGTTTCGTGTTCGTTTTGACTTCGTGTGGACTGGGCCTTATATAGACAAAGCCTTGTATCGCTTGGAAACATGCAAATGGTAATCGATGAATGGGTCGTTTGGTTCCATCATTAGCCTGTGATATCTGAAGCCTGTCTATGATATCACTATGACCTGGATGACTGAGAACCTTCATCAGCATAAGGTGAAGGTAGTTAGCTTTATACCAGTTGCAGCCTTAATACAGCCAACATGATTTTTGTATGAAAGAAATGTGTGTTTAAATATGCCTCTTTTCTATGACACCATAAAATGTGCTTTCATATGATCTAGTCTGAGCTAAACAAGATCCATGTAAGAGCAAGGAGCAAGGATACACTATGAAAGCACAGAGGCCAATAACTAATTAAATTGTCTAAATCTTGAGTAAGATATAATAAAAAAGGAAATACAGGATTATAGTTGTCATCTACAGTTGATATGAATTACTAACATTTCACCAAAAGTCATTTATGATTTTGGGTTTGAATCTTTTCAGCTTTACTTAGTGTTGTGCTGAGATGGTCATAAACAAAATAGAGATCCCAGGATGCCTTGCAGCTTTGATATCACAGCAGAGGTATCAAGCCAAGCAAAACTTTCCCTTCTTCCTCTCTCCTAAACCGTCCTTAAACCTTTTGATGTTACATCTTCACTTGCAAAGTGGTGAGAAAAAAAAAAAAAAGGTTATTGAAATTTGGAAACTGAACGGGCAAAGAATCTGCAGACTTCCTGATCACCTCTCGGACCCGGTCACTCTGAAACACTGCAGCCTCTGTTTTGTTCAAAACAGGAAAAACCATGGGATATTTGGGGACGCAAAATTTCCCGAGTCGAGTACATGATTGCTTTGGTCAAGTGATC